AGGAATGAGGTGGACCAGGAAGGACCCCAGATCACAGTCAAAGTCTTTGAAGGGCATGGACTCCAGTGGACTGAGCTGGGTAGCTTGTATCTCCATGACAAAGTTCACTGGTTGCTTCTGTAGGAGCTCTGGGTCAAAGGCCACACCCCGAAAGAAAGGGTGGACCTGGAAGTGATGCAGATAACGTAGACGGTGGAGAGGGTTCTGGCATAAAAGCTGAGGGAAACAGAGCACAAAGGATGAGAGACTGAGATAAAAAAGGGCTGAACAGGAAAGATGGGAAGGAGAAAGAGGTTCCTGGAGTAGAGAGAGAAGAACCCTAAAGACTAGGTCTATAAAAAATGGAGAAACAGAGGATAATTTGGGGCCAAGGTGGGAATAAAGGACTGAATTTGTGAGTTTTCAGATGGTAAGAGTGCAGCACTGGTCCACTCTCTCAGAAGGATCTATCTGTTCTGGATGGGGAGGAGATTGGAGGACAGAGAACTCCAGAATTAAATCTGAAGTATTGGTTAGCGGGCAAGTAGTTAGGCTGTTAAGTTGGAGTCTCCCCTGCCCCACAAAATTAAGCAGAGGAATGGAGAAAAAAACACTTCAGTAATAGGGTAAGGAGAGGGTGAATGGTTTGGTAGTCCAGAAGGAAAGAAGTGCTCACCCTTACCTGATGGAGCAGGAGCGAGAGCCCTGGGTTAAGAGAAGCTGGAATCTCAGAGTCACCATGGGTCACACTTGCCAACATGGCCACGTGATCTCTCTCTGCAGCCACTGGAAACTGAGTTAAGAGGTGGGGAGTTGAGGTAGGGTGTCATTCAAAAAAAACAGGATTTCCTGAGGTCTTCTTCCCACCACAGGGCAAAGCTGCTCTCTTCTCTACCCACCACCACGACCGTCCCCTCACCTTTCCAGTGGCCAGAGAGAAGAGCAAGACACCCAGGGACCACCAATCAGCAGCGTGGTTGTAAGGCCCTCCACTCAGGACCTCTGGCGCTATATATTTGAAAGATACTTGTCACTGACATCATATGGCTATCCTTCTGCCCAGTGTACCACCCGCTTTAGCCTTTCTCTCACCCATGTATTGGAGAGTGCCACAGATAGTATAGGCCCGGGCTCCCTGGGGCAGGTGGCGGGCCAGACCAAAGTCTGTCAGTTTCAGATGGCCTACGAAAAAAGGCAACAGCAACCGCTCTGTTCCAGCCCTCCTCAGCCATGATTTTATTCCTAAACTGGGGTTTCTGTGACTGGGGGTAGAAAAAGACTTACCTCGTTCATCCAGAAGGATATTCTCCAGCTGAAAGATCACAAGAGAGAAGATACTCTTCTTTTAATTCTTTTATCATGTATACCATCTCCCCAGCTGAGTAAGATGCCCTACTCAGCATTCTAATCTATACTTGGAGGGCCCTCATCCCCAATCCTTGGCACCCACAGGGGCACCAAGGTCAACTCATCTCACCTGTCTTTACCCATGCCCTCCCCCACCTTCTTGGCCCTACTGGAACTTCTTAACTGAGGCCCCTCCTCAGACGAGAAAAAGCGCTGAACTCTACCTTCACATCTCGATGGACGATTCCTAAGTCATGGAGATAGCCTGTGGGTGACAGTAAGAATGAGGGGTTCCAAAGCTCTCCTGTTCTTCCCAGTTTTCCTGGAGACCCCCACTCCCTCCCATCCCTATTCATTGATCTGCAATTAGTATTGATTCTCTTCTCTCCTCCCCCACAACGTCATCCTTCTCTCTGTTTCCTTTATCACTGTTTCACTTACACAGTACCAGGACCAGCTCAGCAGCAAAGAGACGGACCAGAGTGTCAGGAAAGCAGCGGACAGTAGACCACAGGGAGTGCAGATCTGTGCTGCAGTAGCTACACACTGCAAAGCACCAAAAGTCCAGGTAGTGTCTGGGGGTTATGGTGCCTGGGCATCTGTAGGCCTCCTGCCCAAACTGATGCCACCAGCTATTCCCTCTCCCTTTGAGGTGCTACAAGAACAGAGTAAGGGCAAGATAGGGAATCTCAGGTGGGAAGTATGGCGGGTCAGGATTGAGAAGCCAGTCACTCACTAATGAACAGGTGCCGTCTCCCCTGCCAGCTGTCTCCCAAGCTGTGTACAAAAGGATGGCTGATCTGTCGCTAGGGGCAAAGAAAACAATAGGAAGAAGCAGGGTCATGAGGATAAAGACAGCCAAGAAATCAAGTTTACCTACATGTGCAAAAAAAGGGAGCTGCCACCTCACCTCTCAGCCCCCAGCAACTCCACAATTAGGATTGACTGCCAGGTAATCCTGGAACTAGCACAGCAATAAGAAACACACTGGGACATGCTGGAGAGGTTTCTTTGGCAGGACCTGGATTAACTACTGATAGCTGATGGCTATTTTTTCCATGATCTACTTTGGTGTTAAACCAGGTTGAAACAGATTGGGGGGGGGGTGCTTTCCTATCTGTGGGTCAGCTCTTGCCAAGATCCTTTCCAGGATTCTGCTTACCTGGATGCTAACCTCCTCTTTGCACTGCCTCAGGGTGTCCCTCTGTAGGACCTTTGCCTTGGGCACCACCTGTAAAAGGAGTGATGACTCAGAATAGTACTATTGAACTGTTTATTCCTCCCAACCCCTGAGGACCCATGATTTGAAACAGGGGTTAGAGAATAATGTGAACAAGTGCCTAGAACCCTACCTTTATAGCAAACACAGCATTCTGGGTACAATCTAGCACCTTGAGGACAGTTCCAAAGGAGCCTTTAGCCACAAGCCCCAAAGTGACTGGGGGTAGAAAAAGACTTACCTCGTTCATCCAGAAGGATATTCTCCAGCTGAAAGATCACAAGAGAGAAGATACTCTTCTTTTAATTCTTTTATCATGTATACCATCTCCCCAGCTGAGTAAGATGCCCTACTCAGCATTCTAATCTATACTTGGAGGGCCCTCATCCCCAATCCTTGGCACCCACAGGGGCACCAAGGTCAACTCATCTCACCTGTCTTTACCCATGCCCTCCCCCACCTTCTTGGCCCTACTGGAACTTCTTAACTGAGGCCCCTCCTCAGACGAGAAAAAGCGCTGAACTCTACCTTCACATCTCGATGGACGATTCCTAAGTCATGGAGATAGCCTGTGGGTGACAGTAAGAATGAGGGGTTCCAAAGCTCTCCTGTTCTTACAGTATGTTCAGAATTTAATTCAAGCCCTGACAATTCTTATTGATTCTCTTCTCTCCTCCCCCACAACGTCATCCTTCTCTCTGTTTCCTTTATCACTGTTTCACTTACACAGTACCAGGACCAGCTCAGCAGCAAAGAGACGGACCAGAGTGTCAGGAAAGCAGCGGACAGTAGACCACAGGGAGTGCAGATCTGTGCTGCAGTAGCTACACACTGCAAAGCACCAAAAGTCCAGGTAGTGTCTGGGGGTTATGGTGCCTGGGCATCTGTAGGCCTCCTGCCCAAACTGATGCCACCAGCTATTCCCTCTCCCTTTGAGGTGCTACAAGAACAGAGTAAGGGCAAGATAGGGAATCTCAGGTGGGAAGTATGGCAGGGGGGGGGTGGGAAGCCAGTCACTCACTAATGAACAGGTGCCGTCTCCCCTGCCAGCTGTCTCCCAAGCTGTGTACAAAAGGATGGCTGATCTGTCGCTAGGGGCAAAGAAAACAATAGGAAGAAGCAGGGTCATGAGGATAAAGACAGCCAAGAAATCAAGTTTACCTACATGTGCAAAAAAAGGGAGCTGCCACCTCACCTCTCAGCCCCCAGCAACTCCACAATTAGGATTGACTGCCAGGTAATCCTGGAACTAGCACAGCAATAAGAAACACACTGGGACATGCTGGAGAGGTTTCTTTGGCAGGACCTGGATTAACTACTGATAGCTGATGGCTATTTTTTCCATGATCTACTTTGGTGTTAAACCAGGTTGAAACAGATTGGGGGGGGGGTGCTTTCCTATCTGTGGGTCAGCTCTTGCCAAGATCCTTTCCAGGATTCTGCTTACCTGGATGCTAACCTCCTCTTTGCACTGCCTCAGGGTGTCCCTCTGTAGGACCTTTGCCTTGGGCACCACCTGTAAAAGGAGTGATGACTCAGAATAGTTCTATTGAACTGTTTATTCTTCCCAACCCCTGAGGACCCATGATTTGAAACAGGGGTTAGAGAATAATGTGAACAAGTGCCTAGAACCCTACCTTTATAGCAAACACAGCATTCTGGGTACAATCTAGCACCTTGAGGACAGTTCCAAAGGAGCCTTTAGCCACAAGCCCCAAAATCTGTACAGAGAAATGGAGGAGATGGAAATTGAAACTGGTCATTTCTCAATTTCTCCCAAAGACAGACCCGTCAAAGATTCCATTGACCTACCTTCAGGTGCTGCTGCTGCCCCCTAATGGGCCTAATGGGAAACTCCGGTAGAAAGAGGCTGATGAACTGAGGCACTGGCCATTCAGACAGAGGCTTCTCTGTCAGCAGTGAGGCTGGCTCTAGGGGCTCCAGCTCCAGGCACTGATGCCCCTGTACTTCCCACAGCTCTTCCAGACCTGACCTGATGGTCCCCACACCTGACCAGAGGCTCTTCCAGCCTCGGGCCCAGGAGCCCCGCATGTTGTCAACCTGCTGAGAACCAAGGGAGCCACTCTAAATCCACCCCTGAGGCATTGCAGGTTCTATCCACGGTATCAAGCAGTCCTTCTCAAATCTCAAACTTAGAGGTACATATTTTAACACAAGGCAAAATTTCCACAATCCTTGCTTTGTACTAAGCCTGGATTTCCTGAACACAATTCAAATCCTCTTAAGAAAACTAATCTCCACGATGCATCAGGAATAAAATGTGTGCCTCAGTCTGGAGCTGTGACACTCATTGTGGTCTCCCTGCCCCACCCCGACATGGAGCATCACTGACCAGCTCCTAAGCAGGTACCTCCTAGGCTCAAGCCTATGCCTCCTTCACCACCGCCCCCGACCCTGCCCCCATTGACAGACTGCCTGATCCCCACAGCCTACCTTGTGAGGAGGAACTTCGCAGGTTTGTCGCCCCTGCCGACAGTTCACTGTTCCCATCCCAGCCTCTGCCTCCTCTCTGCTTCCGCTAAATCTCCGTCCCAGTTACGTAAGTGATTCCTCCCCTGATGCTGTACTCACTACATGAGCCCCGCCTCTCCTCATGTACACAGCCCATCAGCGTGGGGGCAGCTGCACTAAAGGCTGGGAAGCATCTATGCCATAGCTTCAAGGCAGAGGAGGAAAGAGGCCAGTCCTTAGTATGGAAGCAGCAGATGTGTCTTGGGTTGATGGGAAGGGAAGGACACAGGTTGAACGCATGTACTCAACACAATAATAATAAAAACAGCATCAAATTTAAAATATTTTTTTCTCTTTAAATCACTTTTTTTTTTTTTTTTGCCATTCTCCAGGGTACACCCCAGGGGGAAGATTAGGGGACCCATGACAGCCTGGCTCCTATTGCCATCCTCCCAGGTGAGCTTAGCACACAGACTGGGGAGGGGCTGATCCCCCCCAGAACACTAATACCTCTTTCATGCAAGGCAGTGGAGTGAAGGACAGAGGATCAGCCCCTTCCCCTCAGCTTCCTGGCACAGAGGGAGAGCAGTTATACCTAGAAATATATATATGTGTGTGTGTGTATATATATATATATATATATACATGTATATATATATATGTCTATTTATAAAAATATATCATACTTGATCAGGACTGTCCCCCCACCCCTTCAGCGGACCCTAAAGGAACAGGGTCCTGCCCTGGGCCCATCCCCTAGGTCTTGCTCTCTTGTTGCCTCTGGCCCTAGGCCTGATGAGCATGAGGTGCAACTCAGCATCACTGTCCACCATGCCTACAGGAGAACAGCTGCTGCTGAAGAGCGGCACCTCTCCACGGGACCCTATGGGATCCTGACCCCCATAATCCTGGTGGATGAAGGGAAGCCCCTCCCACACCACAAGTCCCTGGAGCCCCAGCCAGAGTCAGATCGTGTACTGCATCCTCTCAGATTGCCAGATCACTTGCGCCTGCCAAAGATGGACTTCTTGCCAGGATTCTTGTCACCCACACTTAAACCAATAAGAAGTCGGGCTTTCTCTTCTCGCCTGCCCCTCAGCTTACTGGCACAGAGAGAGAGCAGTTATACCTAGAAATATATATATGTGTGTGTGTGTATATATATATATATATATACATGTATATATATATATGTCTATTTATAAAAATTTATCATACTTGATCAGGACTGTCCCCCCACCCCTTCAGCGGACCCTAAAGGAACAGGGTCCTGCCCTGGGCCCATCCCCTAGGTCTTGCTCTCTTGTTGCCTCTGGCCCTAGGCCTGATGAGCATGAGGTGCAACTCAGCATCACTGTCCACCATGCCTACAGGAGAACAGCTGCTGCTGAAGAGCGGCACCTCTCCACGGGACCCTATGGGATCCTGACCCCCATAATCCTGGTGGATGAAGGGAAGCCCCTCCCACACCACAAGTCCCTGGAGCCCCAGCCAGAGTCAGATCGTGTACTGCATCCTCTCAGATTGCCAGATCACTTGCGCCTGCCAAAGATGGACTTCTTGCCAGGATTCTTGTCACCCACACTTAAACCAATAAGAAGTCGGGCTTTCTCTTCTTCCGCTTGCTGTTGCACATTCAGGTCTGACTTAGTTTCTAGCTTTCCTCGGACCTCAGACCCTGTTGCAGGCTTCAGTCTTAACTTCTCTTTGATTACCTGGCAGGTTGGGGAGGAGTAAAAGCAAGGTAATTATCAGTGGACAGATAGAATAGATGAAAATGAACCAACTCAACAAAGTCTAATTAAATGGTCAAATTAAAATGGTCCCTGCTTTCCAGAAGCTTACAGTCTAATTAGAACCCATTCTAAACCTGAGGTTTTATCAGCCCCTAGATTCCTAAAATCAACAGCAATTGATATACAAAACTCTTAGTGAACATTCAATTTAGTCATCAGGGTGAAGTCACAGAAAGGGAAGGGACAGAAAATCCCTGCTTCATTCACCTGCCTGTTCCAAAGACTATTTGTTCATAAATCCTAGAATGAAAAGCTCCTGAGCAGAGAAGGACCTGCCTGCTTGCCAGTCCCTGATAACTAAATAGCCATGAGACCTGGAGGGATACCTGGGCAACCAGGGCTTTGCGGCTGTCCCTTTTCACGGCCATGGCAAAGTCTAGCCATGTCCATGTGTTGTTGTGGTACTCCAGACAGGGCAGCACCAGGTTAAGATCACCCCAGTCCACACTGTTCTTCTCGCCCTGCAAGAGAAGGAGGAGCAGAGAGGAAAAAGAGGGGAAAAAAATACATTAGGTACCATTTTGAATTCAAGCCAGTATTTGAGTGCGTTTTACAACAGCACCCCTGAGATGCTGATTCCCCTTACCTTGGCAATAGTAATGGCACTGCCTCCTGAGGGGAGCAGTGGGAAGAGCAGATTTATTACTCATAGCCCGTTCCCACAAGAAGCCTGGCTATCTCCCTGTCTATAATTTCTGATGATTTTTTTTTCTTACTACCAAATGGCACATGCGTTCACCAGAGAGATATATATAGAGAGAGGCAGAAAGCACCCTCCAATAGTGCGTGGTCATGCCACAATCCCTTCTCCACTTCTCCATCCTATTGAGATTTTGGGCACACACACACACACACACACACACACACACACACACGTCTGGCATGTCATTCAAGCCAGGATTCAAACCATGGTCAGTCATGTGGGATCCGTTTCCCTTAACCACTAAGCTATGGAGCCGGCCCAATCTCTGATGATTTTATCTGGTTCCCTTCCCATCCTGTTCTAGAAAGTGTTAAGGAGATACTGACCTTGTAGCTGACACACAGTGGAACCTGTGGAATCTTTATGTAGATGAAGGAGTTGTTCATGGCAGCTCGCTCTTTCATCTTGTCAATATCATCTACAGGGTGCTAGGAAAGGCAGGACAGGAAATGTGAGCTCCTGAAAGCACTAGCAGAACAAACTCAGGACCCCAGACATCACCTTTCACTCCTAGAGTAGACTCAAAGGAAATAGAAGAAATCCCCAGCCAGGCCCAACATGGCGCCTCAGGACCCCCATTTTCCTACCATCAGGGGCATGTCTGGTACCTCGGGAGATCTGCGAAATGACCTTCTGACCCCAGAACTCCGAGTCAAGCCCTGTGTCACACCCTTCCCAGGGCCAAGAGGTACTGCATCATCTGTTGCAATCAGTTGCCGAGGCTTCACCACTGGTATTCCTATAAAAATGCAAGTATATCAGCTGTTAGTCTCTTTTTGAAGCTTCTGCTGCCTCTGGGGCTGCCATCCCATCCTTCTGGTGCTCCACCATCAAAAGTTCTCACTGGTAGTCACCAGTTTGGACTTATCCTCCTCATCACCAACTTCATTATCTTCTACACTTCGGCCGGGAAAGAAAAAGCCCATCATTCTATGGAAGAACTGGTGTGTCAGCTGGATGGTGAGAGGTACCACATTTACCTAAAGGGGAAAAAGGTTAGAGAAACAATTAAGCCCAGTTTACTTACCCCTAATATAGTCATATGCCACATAACGTTTCAATCACAGACTGCATATTCGACAGTGGTCCTATAATATTTTAATAGGCTATATCAGATAGCCTAGGCACGGACTAAACTATGCCATCCAGGTTTGTCTAAGTACACTTTCTACTTTTTTTTTGGAGAGGTTTTTTTTTTTTTTTTTGCTTTAGGGTGTGTGTGGCTGCCAGACAGAGAGATACAGAGAGACAGAAAGCAAGAAATCACCCCTCAGGGGGTATGGCCACGCCACAATCCCTTCTCTGTTCTCCTCTCGGGATCTTGGGCATGCACGCACACGCGCCCGGCGTGAGTTTTAAGCCACCAGGTCCAGGACGCAAACCGCGGTCAACTCCATGGGAGTCCAGCAACATAGCCATTATGCTAACTGCTGGTCCCTAAGTACACTTTCTTTAACATCTGTGCAGTGATGAAGTCACTTAACAATGCATTTCTCAGAACTTATCTCCATAGTTAAGTGATGCAGGACTGGGAACTAGCAGATAGCATAATGGTTATGTCACTGGACTCCCACATAATTGACCACAGTTTGGGTCTCAGACCTGGCAACTTAAAGCTCATGCCAGGCACGTGTGTGTGCATGCCCCAAGTCCCAAGAGGAGAATGGAGGAGAAGGGATTGCAGCATGGCCATCCCTCTGGGGGTGATTTCTCACTTTTTGTCTCTGTCTCTTTGGTGACTACATGTGCCCTATAGTAAATATCTCTTGAAAAAAAAAAAATTGATGCAGGACTGTATAGCATAACAAGCAGTAATGATTTATTTATTTTGTACTTTTTTAAAAAAATTTGCTACAGGACACATGTGGTCACTGTGGGGGTAGAGAGAGAGAGAAAGAGAGAAAAATGAGAAAGTACCCCCCGCCCCCAGGGAGATGGTTATGATGCAATCCCTTCTCCTCCATTCTCCTCTCAGGATTTTAGGTGCAAACATATACACATGCACACCTGGCATGTTTTTCAAGTGACTAGGTCTTGGTTTTGAACTACATAATCAGCAATGTGGGTTCTAGCTGCCTTAACCACCACACCACTGGCTGGACCCACACAGCTAGTTATTTAAAAATAAAAAACAAAAACAAAACAAAAAAACCCATTTATTTATGTACTGATATTTACTTATTTATTCATTTATTATTATCATTATTATTTGTTTAATTTGACCAGAGAGAGACAGAGAGAGAGAAAAGGAAAGTAGGAAAGCAAGCCTCCAGGCCCAGGACTCAAACCGTCATCGGCCATGTGAGAGTCTAGCATTTAACCACCATGCCACCTGCTGGATCCATATACTGATATTTATGTTGTTGTGATTTTCAAACCACCTGGTCTGGGACTTGAACCACAGTTTATGGTGTGGGAATCCAACACCTTAACCATTACACCACCTGCTGGCCCCCCAGATATCTTTTGACTAACCTATGTTTCTGGGTCTCCAAGGGATTATTTACTAACCTCAAAGTGCTCCTTAACAGAAATGCCCCCAACAGGGGGTCGGACTTTACTGAAGAGGCGGAGAGCTAGCTGTCGCCCAGACTGGCAGGAACTCTGGGGCCGCAGGACAACCTGTAGAATAGAGTGTGAACCACAGCTTAACCCAATGTTCTCCCTACCATAAATGGAACCACAAATTACCTGCAGAATGAAAGA